CGGCATCGGAGCCAGTACGCGTATACTGCACATACCGTGCAACAGGCCTATTTGGACAAAAAAAAACCTAGGTGGGTAAAACGCGGAACTCTCATTTTAAAAGGTCTTCCCGGGTGAATTTCGGAAAGAAAAAAATCACAGGAGTTGTTGAGAATATAATACATTTATCCAGATTAAAATTAGAACATTGTGACGATTTTTAATGTTGGTTCTGCAGCGATAAATATGCCCCCTCCTACGGCATCGGAGCCAGTACGCGTATACTGCATATACCGTGCAATAGGCCGGTTTGGACACAAAAAACCTAGGTGGGTAAAACGCGGAACTCTCATTTTAAAAGGTCTTCCCGGGTGAATTTCCGAAAGAAAAAAATCACAGGAGTTGTTGAGAATATAATACATTTATCCAGATTAAAATTAAAAGATTGTGACGATTTTTAATGTTGGTTCTGCAGCGCTAAAGATGCCCCCTCCTACTGTATCGGAGCCAGTACGCGTATACTGCACATACCGTGCAATAGGCCTATTTGGACAAAAAACCTAGGTGGGTAAAACGCGGAACTCTCATTTTAAAAGGTCTTCCCGGGTGAATTTCGGAAAGAAAAAAATCACAGGAGTTGTTGAGAATATAATACATTTATTCAGATTAAAATTAAAAGATTGTGACGATTTTTAATGTTGGTTCTGCAGCGCTAAAGATGCCCCCTCCTACGGCACCGGAGCCAGTACGTGTACACTGCACATAACGTGCATAGGCCTACTTGGACAAAAAAACCTAGGTGGGTAAAACGCGGAACTCTCATTTTAAAAGGTCTTCCCGGGTGAATTTCGGAAAGAAAAAAACCACAGGAGTTGTTGAGAATATAATACACTTACCCAGATTAAAATTAAAATATTGTGACGATTTTTAATGTTGGTTCTGCAGCGCTAAAGATGCCCCCTCCTACGGCATCGGAGCCAGTACGTGTACACTGCACATAACGTGCATAGGCCTACTTGGACAAAAAAACCTAGGTGGGTAAAACGCGGAACTCATTTTAAAAGGTCTTTCCGGGTGAATTTCGGAAAGAAAAAAATCACAGGAGTTGTTGAGAATATAATACATTTATTCAGATTAAAATTAAAACATTGTGACGATTTTTAATGTTGGTTCTGCAGCGCTAAAGATGCCCCCTCCTACGGCATCGGAGCCAGTATCGCGTATACTGCATATACCGTGCAATTGGGCCTATTTGCACAAAAATCCTAGGTGGGTAAAACGCGGAACTCTCATTTTAAAAGGTCTTCCCGGGTGAATTTCTGAAAGAAAAAAATCACAGGAGTTGTTGAGAATATAATACATTTATCCATATTAAAATTAAAACATTGTGACGATTTTTAATGTTGGTTCTGCAGCGCTAAAGATACCCCCTCCTACGGCATCGGAGCCAGTACGCGTATACTGCACATACCGTGCATAGGCCTATTTGCACAAAAAACCTAGGTGGGTAAAACGCGGAACTCTCATTTTAAAAGATCTTCCCGGGTGAATTTCGGAAAGAAAAAAATCAGGGGAGTTGTTGAGAATATAATACATTTATCCAGATTAAATTTAAAAGATTGTGACGATTTTTAATGTTGGTTCTGCAGCGCTAAAGATGCCCCCTCATACGGCATCGGAGCCAGTACGCGTATACTGCACATACCGTGCATAGGCCTATTTGCACAAAAAACCTAGGTGGGTAAAACGCGGAACTCTCATTTTAAAAGATCTTCCCGGGTGAATTTCGGAAAGAAAAAAATCAGGGGAGTTGTTGAGAATATAATACATTTATCCAGATTAAATTTAAAAGATTGTGACGATTTTTAATGTTGGTTCTGCAGCGCTAAAGATGCCCCCTCATACGGCATCGGAGCCAGTACGCGTATACTGCACATACCGTGCATAGGCCTATTTGCACAAAAAACCTAGGTGGGTAAAACGCGGAACTCTCATTTTAAAAGGTCTTCCCGGGTGAATTTCGGAAAGAAAAAAATCACAGGAGTTGTTGAGAATATAATACATTTATCCAGATTAAATTTAAAAGATTGTGACGATTTGTAATGTTGGTTCTGCAGCGCTAAATATGCCCCCTCCTACGGCATCGGAGCCAGTACGCGTATACTGCACATACCGTGCAACAGGCCTATTTGGACAAAAAAAAACTAGGTGGGTAAAACGCGGAACTCTCATTTTAAAAGGTCTTCCCGGGTGAATTTCGGAAAGAAAAAAATCACAGGAGTTGTTGAGAATATAATACATTTATCCAGATTAAAATTAGAACATTGTGACGATTTTTAATGTTGGTTCTGCAGCGATAAATATGCCCCCTCCTACGGCATCGGAGCCAGTACGCGTATACTGCATATACCGTGCAATAGGCCGGTTTGGACACAAAAAACCTAGGTGGGTAAAACGCGGAACTCTCATTTTAAAAGGTCTTCCCGGGTGAATTTCCGAAAGAAAAAAATCACAGGAGTTGTTGAGAATATAATACATTTATCCAGATTAAAATTAAAAGATTGTGACGATTTTTAATGTTGGTTCTGCAGCGCTAAAGATGCCCCCTCCTACTGTATCGGAGCCAGTACGCGTATACTGCACATACCGTGCAATAGGCCTATTTGGACAAAAAAACCTAGGTGGGTAAAACGCGGAACTCTCATTTTAAAAGGTCTTCCCGGGTGAATTTCGGAAAGAAAAAAATCACAGGAGTTGTTGAGAATATAATACATTTATTCAGATTAAAATTAAAAGATTGTGACGATTTTTAATGTTGGTTCTGCAGCGCTAAAGATGCCCCCTCCTACGGCACCGGAGCCAGTACGTGTACACTGCACATAACGTGCATAGGCCTACTTGGACAAAAAAACCTAGGTGGGTAAAACGCGGAACTCTCATTTTAAAAGGTCTTCCCGGGTGAATTTCGGAAAGAAAAAAACCACAGGAGTTGTTGAGAATATAATACACTTACCCAGATTAAAATTAAAATATTGTGACGATTTTTAATGTTGGTTCTGCAGCGCTAAAGATGCCCCCTCCTACGGCATCGGAGCCAGTACGTGTACACTGCACATAACGTGCATAGGCCTACTTGGACAAAAAAACCTAGGTGGGTAAAACGCGGAACTCTCATTTTAAAAGGTCTTTCCGGGTGAATTTCGGAAAGAAAAAAATCACAGGAGTTGTTGAGAATATAATACATTTATTCAGATTAAAATTAAAACATTGTGACGATTTTTAATGTTGGTTCTGCAGCGCTAAAGATGCCCCCTCCTACGGCATCGGAGCCAGTATCGCGTATACTGCATATACCGTGCAATTGGGCCTATTTGCACAAAAATCCTAGGTGGGTAAAACGCGGAACTCTCATTTTAAAAGGTCTTCCCGGGTGAATTTCTGAAAGAAAAAAATCACAGGAGTTGTTGAGAATATAATACATTTATCCATATTAAAATTAAAACATTGTGACGATTTTTAATGTTGGTTCTGCAGCGCTAAAGATACCCCCTCCTACGGCATCGGAGCCAGTACGCGTATACTGCACATACCGTGCATAGGCCTATTTGCACAAAAAACCTAGGTGGGTAAAACGCGGAACTCTCATTTTAAAAGATCTTCCCGGGTGAATTTCGGAAAGAAAAAAATCAGGGGAGTTGTTGAGAATATAATACATTTATCCAGATTAAATTTAAAAGATTGTGACGATTTTTAATGTTGGTTCTGCAGCGCTAAAGATGCCCCCTCATACGGCATCGGAGCCAGTACGCGTATACTGCACATACCGTGCATAGGCCTATTTGCACAAAAAACCTAGGTGGGTAAAACGCGGAACTCTCATTTTAAAAGATCTTCCCGGGTGAATTTCGGAAAGAAAAAAATCAGGGGAGTTGTTGAGAATATAATACATTTATCCAGATTAAATTTAAAAGATTGTGACGATTTTTAATGTTGGTTCTGCAGCGCTAAAGATGCCCCCTCATACGGCATCGGAGCCAGTACGCGTATACTGCACATACCGTGCATAGGCCTATTTGCACAAAAAACCTAGGTGGGTAAAACGCGGAACTCTCATTTTAAAAGGTCTTCCCGGGTGAATTTCGGAAAGAAAAAAATCACAGGAGTTGTTGAGAATATAATACATTTATCCAGATTAAATTTAAAAGATTGTGACGATTTGTAATGTTGGTTCTGCAGCGCTAAAGATGCCCCCTCCTACGGCATCGGAGCACGTACGCGTATACTGCATATACCGTGCAATTGGGCCTATTTGCACAAAAATCCTAGGTGGGTAAAACGCGGAACTCTCATTTTAAAAGGTCTTCCCGGGTGAATTTCTGAAAGAAAAAATTCAGAGGAGTTGTTGAGAATATAATACATTTATTCAGATTAAAATTATAACATTGTGATGATTTTTAATTTTGATTCTGCCTGTGTCAAACGCGAAACTCTTGGAGGCCCGCACCCATTGATCGCGTTGCCTGGGTAAAACATGGAACTATTAAATACAGAGGGCCTTCCCATGAACATGTGGAGGATATAAGACACTTGTCGACATTGCAAATAAAACATTACGATCATTCCATAATGTTACTTCGGCAGAATTCGTTCTGCAGCGGTACATTATCCCCCTATCAACTGTTTAAAACACGTGCTTCACAGAGCACTGAGTCAAAGCTGCACCCTTGGTTTGTAAACGGCATGTATCCCTGTACAGCATGTGTTCTGCACTGTTCTGCAAATACTGCACACAATTATTATACGACGGCACAAACAGGTGGAAAATCTTTTATTTTCAATTCATTTAAGGACAGATTATGGCGATTTTGGGACTTTTTAATGAGATTTGGCCCTTGCTGTACTTTGAAAGCCAGTATTTCATCTTAATTTAGTGTTTTATTAACAATTTTGCAGAGTTCCGCAGAGTTCTGCACGTTCTGCGAGTTCCGCAAAATACCAACTGCCTGTATTGGGGTTGTATTGTACGTATAGTGTGTACGCTGTGACATGCAAACTTTAATACACAGCGTCTGCTTTTCTATTTCATTGTACAGGGTTTTTATATTCCATTGAAATATTGTATCTCAACTGGATCATCAATAAATCAACCAATCAACTAATGACAGAAACCGATGATGATTGTCCACGCTTGGTGATTGCCTCCCATCCTCCTTAACTGGTGGACGAGTCTCCCCCCTCTGAATAAGACAGCAGGGCCGACCACTACATTTCATTCTCAGAGTGCCCGAGCATTGCTGGAAGAGAGTTCAGTTGGTAGAGCCATTATTTCAGAGATTGAGGAAGGAGAGTTGACACGGAAAAGCAGACTGAAGCTTGTTAGAATTGTTGTTGCACATATAATCGAGCACTATGGAGATCGGTATGTTATACATCATTTTATATTGTATCCGATATGGTGTTAGGACTTAGGTGCAATTTAGATAACCAGATTATGATTATGAAACAGAGTGGTCATTCAACAACAGCATCTTTCGGTTTAACCATCTCCACTGTGATGGTCCCAAAAGAGACATTCAGCATGATGAAATCAAAATTGAGCTAATTATCATTATATCTGGCTCATTGTTGTAGCCACAGTAGATCAACGTCAGCATCCTGGAAAAATTCAGAGGGCTTAGATGTAGAATGGTGAGATCAACCAGTGCAATGAAAATAACACCATCATCATACACACCCCATGTGGGTACATTGAAATTCATTTGTTTGTCACTGTGAGGAGGGAATTGAGTAAACAATTTTGAGCATTTCAAGCATATTTTCATCTTAGTTATGAAAATCTGTACCGGGCAAAATATGCAGTATGAGATCAGAGTGTGACGCGGCCAGCATTGAATTGAAGCTAAACTTGTGTGGCAGCTTTCCAATTATTGACATTATTTTGGTCAAATTTGAATTCTGCTCATGGATAGTTTGATATCCTACACCATTTCACTCATTTGGATAGCATTTTGCTGTGCTGCTACATACTGTAATCACTAAGCTTCTTGGCTTCTACACCATCCTGGCTGTAGTCATATGCTAGTTCTATAAGAGTGACATGACAACATTAGTTCATCGGTGACAAGGCCATCCATATTTTCGTCATATAAACTTTTCCTGGTGGTCAGTTTTAAACTACTGTAGCCTTTTAAACTGATGAAGTAAGTGACAAACTCTTAAATTTATGTATGTCTGGCTGGTGTTACTTCAAAGCCTGTCAAATTCTTTCATCCGTATTGGTAGGTTTAATTTTCTTTACTTTACATCTTCTATTACATCAACAGGCCCAAAGGTGACGTGAAGACTAGGATGGCTCAGGCCATCATTGATGATTTCCCATCTCTGAAAGATGATGAAGGTCAAGGTTTTGTAAGTATATGCAACAATTTATTTCCTGCATGCTTGTCAAATTATGTGTGGGAGAGGTACTCATCCAGGTCCTGAGCCAATTCAAAACAGCACAATTCTCAATAGATGGGTCATGCAGTGACAATGACAGTAAATAATTGTTAATACCAATGGATCAACAAAACGTATAATGTTCCAATTAATCATCTGTATTTGAATGCTAGCAAAACAATAAAACACTTTCACGTCTCGGCCACCATTAACCGGTTCTCTAAATCGTCAAATTTTTCGGTCAACAAATGTTACTTTATGGACGATCGTAAATGTATAAATTTTGCTCATACATGTATAAGGGGTTTTCCGGTCTGACTTGGTCACAAGGATCATTGGATGGTGGATCATCTGTGGTAATCAGCGAGTTGGGGTCCAACTTGGGCCCTATGGCCGTTTCACTTCAATCACACAAAATGCAAATCATATGCTACAATGTTGGGAGTTTGTCAAGATATTGCTTCCCTCGGGGTGTTCAGGATTCTTGGGTCCAAGGTCCCGCTCGAGCTGTGTGACCCACCCAGTATGGACTACAATTCTAAAAATATCCTAATACTGGTGCATGTACATGAAACTTTGTACATGTAGTCAACATTCAGAGCTGAATTTTTTTGAAGAAATTTTAGAGGTCATCCAAGGTAAAATTCTTCTCATGGTCAGTATTTGGCCCTTTATACAATGGGTCAAAACCTGTCCTGAAACAGTCGCGCGACTTGTGTTACATGTATGTCCAAGGAATATTTTTTGCTGTATAAGTGTTTGATGCCTGAATGTTTGTTGGGTATGACATTTCCAAATTGACTGCATGCGTACATGCGTATCATATTTTTGTGTATAGCTTCTGCAACCTTGGTGCTCTAATTTATCTTGTAATGAATTGTTTGGATTTCTCTGCCCTACAGGAAGCCTGGTACACTCCGGGAAAAGGATGTCATTCGTCAACTGGGTGGAACGACTGAGGAACGTCCGGCGCAATGAGACTGGAACCAAAACGACCATAACTCCCATAACTCATCCAAGCAAAAATACATTGATTGCTGCCACTTTACCGGGTAGGTGATTAATAGGGATGAGTACACCCTCAACTCATCTGAGCTATATCTAGGGATTGGTCAAGAATGGGGCGTGACTGTGATGACAACACTGATGGAATGCTGAACACTATGGTGTATCACCATCGCACTCTATTCCCTCAGGAATGGGTTCACTGTTTCTCCCAATACTGCCTTTGTTCAATGAATTCCATAAATAAGCATTTGTTGGCATTGTATGATCTTCAGGTTGATGTGCCAAGTTTTCAACATGTTATTTCTTCTTCACCTCTGGTCTACATAGGTACAGGAATTAATTTTTTGTTGGAGATCCACAAAATGGAATCAAGTACTTTGTTATATACAATATTTTAAATTATGCCATTCCACTGTTAAATTGAATACATATGCATGTGTGCTTAGGTGTATGTATCTTTTGTTAACTTTCACAGAATCTGATCTCTCTGACGAACAGTGTAAGAGTATGGCAGAGTGGCTGAAGCACAACTTGGCACCAGTAGCTCAGGTGACATCCTTCATGGAAAAGACTGCTGTCAAGAGGGCAGAGTGGATTCGCAACAACCCTGGTCAACCATTTGACAACATCCTACAAGAATATCCACGGCTCTTTGACACACCTGGCATGGTTAGTACCAATCACACACAAAGCAAATAGGGCACCACTGCCCAGCAGTGTTAGCCTACTGTACCTACCACCTTGGGGCTTAATTTTGGTCATGTAACCTGTGGTGGTTACTGGTGCAGGCACCCCTCCCTATGTAACCTTTCAACCTGCCTGCCATAGAAGATGATTGCAAGAATGACAAACCTTGCCCTAAGATGTTAGGGTGGTGTTGTGGATTGAGTGACTGTTCATCCCCTCTGAAGACCTTGTTTTGACTCCACTACCAGTCGCGGTTGGACCTGACTGGAAAAAGTGAAATGCAGTTGTTGATGGTTTCAGAATTTCTGGCATTGTTGTATAGGTGGGTCGATTTGGATTGTGTGAACTGGTGTTTCGGCATGGCTGTTTTGTTGGGTGGCTCCTCGAATGCCATGCTCCTACTCCTCTAGAACTGTTGAAATGATGAAAAACTCATCCTGTAAACTTTTAAGAAATATTAAACAATATTAACTGGTAGCTCATGAGCCTGAAATGCGGTTGTGACTCAGCAGAAATATCGGTCCTCAAATATTTATATGGCTTATTTGAGCTGTTGTCCCCTGTGTATGTCCATTTAACAAAAATATCAATGACCGTTGTGTTGATTGTTTAATTTGATATTATTTCACGATCAGTGTACAGTGTTTGGTCAACAAGAAGGTATTTCCTATTTGGTATGTATTATAGTGAGTAGAAGGTCAAACTCTTAACTTGGTATAATGTTACTTGTATGGTGATGTACCGGATCTCTGTTAAAATTTGTATTATGCATTTGAGATGTTGGTATTGACTGATTGTTTTCAAATTGTATTTACTAATATATGAATATGTATTTTCACTGTGATACAGGTGGAATTGGATTTTCGGGCCCTATTTGCGGAGGTGGCCGATAACCTCTACATGCTGTGGACTTCAACCTACACTAATGAGGTGCTGAAGTATGCCAGTCTGCAAGGGAAATGGCAATCTTACTTGCATATTGATCCGTCCAAAATGAGTAAGCACATAAATGAGCACATGAAAAACAGGTTATATTCATGTAAGCTACTGTAACAAATTGGATACACAGTAGGAGAGTTGCTGATTTCTATGCGATCGTACAGGTCTGTTGTTTACATCACATGTACATTTTCCTACTAGGGGGATAATACTCTGGATACAATATAGATGGTAGGAATTTACAAGTCTTTGAGCGGGTAAAGGAGCTGGTCATTCATTTAGACTCCTCCATGAAGATATTTAAGTAATGCGCAGGTCTGCCAGAAGAGGGAATTGGATTTTGGCTTTAATTAAACGTCATGTCAAGTTTCTGCATGAAGATGTTGTTCTTGGACTTCTATAAAGCAGAAGGTGAGGCCTGGAGTATGCTGCTCAGGCTTGGAATCCCTATTCAACTAGACACAAGCTCTTGCTGAAGCAGGTGCAGAGACGTGCTACCAAGATAATCAGTTCTATTCAGGACTTGCCATATTAGCAGCGCTTAGGTCTCACTACACTCGAGCTTGGGCATCTAAGGGGGAATTAGTTCAGGTCTTCAAGATTGTTAATAGATTTGATAAGCTTGGGTTTGATGTTTTTCATTTATCACATGTTCATATTTTGTTTGATATATTTCAGACTCGGATGACAAGAAGACAAATGTTTCGTTGGGCCTTCTCCCATGTATTCTGCCACCTGGCAGAAAGGGGAATAAGAGGGCCAGTATTGATGAAGCTATGGCATCCTACATTGCCGTTGAACCGGTAAGAAACAAATTTATAGATAACAGATCAATAATCTTAACATTCTTTCGGTAGTTGCATTCAATTGTTTTCTGAGATATGCATTAGGGCGTTCTGTACAAACTGTTAACTTGAAAGCATGAAATCATAGCCTCCGTTTCATAAGAACAGTTTTGCATTTCCTTTGTTTTTCAATATGTTGTTTTGGCATTCAATTGGGTAAGGGTGTAACTGTCTCTATTATAAAGGTGTGAAATCCATATAAATTGTGTTGGAAATGTTTTGGCAAATTGGTTCCATTTTAAAAACACAACAATTGTTTTTTTTTGTGATGTGAATTTGAGGCTCTGTAATTACACTTGTTTGTTTGAAGTTCACAGTTGGGACAACGTTCCAACTTTAAAGATCAATACCTTGATGACAAAAATTCGAGATTAAATGCAACTACCACCTGATTGCTTAGATTATACTCCTTTTGATTCCTTGCTAATAAACTGCCATTCACGTCTGAAATTGTAGCAATTTCACTCGGTTGTGGAGCATTTCTTGTCTTGTCTGGTACTATGCAAACACCAACTAGTGGTTATCACTGCATAGGGTAAATGCTGGTCACCTGGTCACCTGATTGACCCATTGCACCGCTGAACAACCTTACTCTCTAGTTGGCCATGAAATATCTAGGGCTTATACTGCTAAAGCCCTAACATGAGAAGAAAATTATTCACTAAAGCAGTATAGCCTGGCTACTGTAGCTCACAGCTTTAATCTGGAAGTGGTTTGAAAAATTATCTTCATGACTCGATGTCAATTAAATGTTCAGCTTCAAATATTTGTAGGAGGAAAACACAGAAGGGCTCCAGGGAAACAAGCAATTTCAAACTCAAACTATTTTTGACTTCAATTTTGATTCAAAATGCCTATCTCCAAGCCCTGTAATAGTCAGTAAGAGAGGCACACTACTGGTAACATCTTAATTTAGCCGAAAAATGTGCCAGGAAAGCTTAATGATGGGGTGAGATCAGGTGAAGGATGAGGGCATGCTGTATTCCTCTCTTAGAGTTAGTTTCTTTCTATGAACGAAAATCAATGAGCCCCAGTGTCATGCAGCATTCCGCTGGCTCTCAATGAAATCCTGTGAACCCAGGGGCTGTTATTAAACAAAAAAATTGCCCATTTTGCACCTTGGTGGGAAATAGATGTTAATAACAAGGAATATCTTTTGTTTTCTTTCTAGATTGGTACAAACATGCCAAAGTATTTAGAAGAGGTGGCAAATAAGCAGCCATTCGTCTTGATACTGGGTTCGCTGATGGAACCACTACAATGCTTCGTGATTGTCGAGCGGAAGGCCCTTCAGCAGATGTCACTGTTGAAGGCATTGGATGTGTGTTTTAAACTGTTCTATGTTTTGGACGTAAACTACCCATGGCAGTGTGCCACCACATGGGAGTATTTCCAGAAAGTTGTGTTCGGGCTAGAAGATCACAATAGCCACAGCAAAACCTCCCCAGCTGTGATAGCCATGCGGACAGCATTGAAACATGTTGCAAAGTAGTATCCATGACTAGAGAGCGAGGCTGGTACTTTGAAAACCGACTGATTTCTGATATCTAAGAAGACAAAAGTGAACTAAATGATGAACTCCCATGGGGTAGATTCATACGAAATCAACAAAGTTTCAGAACAAAATGGCAAGTCTCCTCTTAGATTTTGCTGATTTCAGTCAGTATTATTTGTAGATAATAACGAGATATATGCCAAATTTGAGTGCTCTCAGGTACATACTTTTTGAGTTATGGCCTTCCAAAGTCAGGGCTTCAATTGTGGATTGGCCTGTTCATTTTTGAAATACTCTCATTTAAAAATCCCTCTTTGATAATGTTCTGATGATAATGCTGTTATAAGGTCCCAGACATGGCACTAGGTGATAGTGGTCGAACTAGTCAGCTGAAACTTGGACCAACACCCTGACTTTTGGAAGACCATAAAAGTGTGTAACCGAGAATGCTGAAATTCTGCACGACTTCCTTTCTCATAATGATCTACAAATAATTTGAAAATCAGCAAAATCTAGGAGTTGACCTACCAATCCTTTTCTTGTTTCGAATGGAATTACCTCATGGCAATGCTGCAGCCAGTTTTGAGTTGTTGAAATTCAAAGTTTGTTTACATTATACCTTTCATGAGACATCTGACAAATTCTGTGATGTTATAGTTATAGTTTGACCTGAAAGCTTTTGTTGTCCTCATTATATTATATTATACCCTTCGTGAGACATCAAACAAAATTTGTGATGTTATAGTTATTGTTTGACCTGAAAGCTTTTGTTGTCCTCCTTAATATACTTCTCTTCATCAAACAAGGATATGTCAAAGTTCTGAAGATTTAAGAAAGTGACATGAAAAAAATTCAAGAAAAAATCAGTACTCTAATTGTAATAGATAACAAAAGCTTCTGTAGACAATGTGTATGTTTGATATTGATATTATGATATCAAAAGTATGAGTAAAGTTGTACTCGGTTAATCTACCAGTTAGATGCATTCTAACATATGGCATTCGCCATTCGGGCATCAGTACTTCACAAAACAAATGGAAGGGGGGGGGGAATTATTCTCACTCATTGTTAAGACTTTATTTCAATATTTTACATGTTTGCTTAGAATAAAATGCGTTTAATTATATATGGTTTGCTTTTCCTTCATTAGCATAATGTGAATGTGAATTAGCATAATGTGAATGTAATATTTAGGGCTCCCAAATACCATAGCCTATTAACCAAGTAGTGAAAGGCGGTGTATACTACTCCGTTAGTTCTAGGTGAAATGAATCAGAAATGCTATGGATTGTTCTAGGATATAAACCATGTTTCTGGTTGAATTAACCAGGAATGTGGTGTCACTCTGCAATGTTTACCAGAGCCTGGTACATTTAACCAGGAATGTGGTGTATCACTCTACATTTATAACCAGGGTCCTGGTGGAATTAACAAGGAAATCCTGGTAAATTTAACCAGGAATGTGGTGTATCACTCTACATTTACAACCAGGTTCCTGGTGGAATTAACAAGGAAATCCTGGTAAATTCAACCAGGAATGTGGTGTATCACTCTACATTTACAACCAGGGTCCTGGTGGAATTAACAAGGAAATCCTGGTAAATTTAACCAGGAATGTGGTGTATCACTCTACATTTACAACCAGGGTCCTGGTGGAATTAACAAGGAAATCCTGGTAAATTTAACCAGGAATGTGGTATATAGTTCCACAATGTAAACCAGAATCCTGGTGAAATTCACCAGGGAATCATGATAACTTTAACCAGGAATGTGGTAAAAAATAACCAGGAAATTTCACCAATGTGTCCTGGTAATTTTTACCAGGATTTTGGTTGACGTACATTCACCAGGAAATCCTGGTGAAATTAACCAGGAAAGAGTGGGTGGTATACGGACAAGGAATCTGGTGAAATTTCAACCAGACTGGTGAAATTTAACCATATTTTTTTTAGAGTGCATGCCAGACGTGGTCTGGGCTTTCTAAGACACACGTCGAGTGTGCACAAAGACTCTTCACTTACTCAGGCGAAGTGCCCCTGGTGTCCACACTCGGCGTGTCTTCCCACTAGGTGGACCCGGCACATTGCTCGGCAGCACCCAGACAAAGCCCTGCGGAAGCAGGCAGATTTCTATAAAAAAAAACCTGTAAATAACCCTTTTTGATTTTTAATGAACTTTCTACAAGGTTTTTTTTTTTATCCTTTTTAGCACAATGATCTCCATTTTAACTTTAAATGTTAATGGTATGCGTGATTTTAATAAACGTCAGCAAATTTTTAATCTTTGTCTAAATTACGATATATGTTTTTTACAGGAGTGCCACATTACATGCCCCTCCGATCTCCAACTTTGGAAAACGGAGTGGAAAGGGGAAATTTTTGCCAGCTATGGCACATCCTCTTCTTGCGGCACTGTTATTATTTCTAATCCACGTGCTTCTTTTAAATTGTCCGGCGTTTAATTTTGATTCTCAGGGGAGAATAGTGAGCTGTTTTTTAGAAGAGTCAGGTGGACGCATAAAACTCATTTCAGTTTTTGCGCCAAACGACCCCCTTCATAAAAAGAACTTTTTTAATAATCTTTCGCAGTACCTTTCAGGTAACTGCCCATTCATTTTAGCTGGAGATTTCAATTGTGTTTTTAATTCTACTCTTGACAGAATAGTTAATTCCTCTGTTACATGCGACATAGGTCACCAGGAACTTCGTTCCGTGTGTGACGAATTTTCTCTCATAGATCCCTGGAGGACTACCTATCCTCAAGATAGATATTTTACCTGGAGAAATGCTTCAAATAATATTTGCAGTCGGCTTGACCGATTCTACATTTCCAATATCTTACATTTTTGCTCTATTACACATTTGTCTGTTTATTTCTCAGATCATGATGGAGTCGTTTTAAATATTAATCCTTCTCCTCTTCCAGAAAGAGGAAAGGGGTACTGGAAATGTAACACTTCTACTTTAACCGATCCCCTTTTTCAAACAGATTTTAAGAGAGCATATACAGGGTGGAGAACTCTAAAAGAAGGTTTTGATAACGAATTAGATTGGTGGGAAGAAGTGAAGCTTCGCAGCAAAAAACTGATTATAGCCCATTCTTGCCGTCTTTCAAATAATAGAAAGAAAGAGAAAGTTCGTCTTCTTGCTTCCTTGGAACGGGTTACCGCCCTTCTTAACCAAGGGAATAAAGATAAAAACATTCTTGCAAAGTATAACCAGATTAAGCTTCAACTTTCTGAGTTAGATAATTTTGTAGCTGAAGGAGCGAGGGTGCGATCTCGCATTTTTCATCTAAATGAAGGAGAGCACCCATCTAGCAATTTTTTCGCACTGAATTTAATCACAAGAAAGCTTCTTCCATCCCCACAGTTAAACGCCCTGACGGGTCTGTTTCTTTTTCACCTTTAGAAATTGTTAATATTTATAAAGATTTTTTATGCATCTCTTTTTTCAGCAGACGATACTGTTGATAGCTTTCAATCTTCCTTTTTAGATCAGATTTCGAGCACTCTTACAGAAGAGAACATTAATAATTTGGAGGTTCCTCTCGCTACTAATGAATTTGATGCAGCATTTGGGGGCATGCTAAAGGGCAAAAGCCCTGGTAGCGATGGATTACCGAAGGAATTTTATTCCACTTTTTGGGATCTTATTTGTCCTGATCTACTTAGTGTTTTTAACACTTCTTTTGATCTTCATATTTTAGCAAATTCACAGAGGACCGGCATTATCACCTTGTTGGATAAGCCCGGCGACCCTTCTTTGCCTCAAAACAAAAGGCCGATTTCATTATTGAATGTAGATTATAAAATTCTTGCCAAAACGCTTTTTAACCGTCTTTCTTCTGTTTTATCCACGATTATTAGTCCTTTTCAGACCTGCGGAGTCAAAGGGAGATCCATACAGGATAACGCCCGACTTCTGCGGGACCTCGTGTTTTATGAAGAGGAGAGAAATTTAAACACTCTGCTCATCTCGCTGGATCAGCAGAAGGCGTTTGATCGAGTGAATTGGTCATTTCTTTACAAAGTGCTGCACAAATCTTATATACGGATACTTTTAGCCAAGTTCTTGCTACCGGTTTCCTTTCTAATCCGTTTTCCTTACAGAAAGGTGTTAGACAGGGATGCCCCCGTCACCTCTTCTCTATGTCATTTTTATTGAGCCCTTCGCTGCGGCTGTCCGCAACGACAAGGGAATTCAAGGCATTTTTATTCCAGGAAGTAACGACATGCAGTGTAAAATACTTCAATATGCGGACGCTACAACTTGTATCGTTCGAAATGTTCCTTCTCTTCACAGAGTATTTAATATCATCAGCATGTTTCAAGGAGCTAGCGGTTCTCGCCTTAATGTAACAAAGTCTAAAGGTCTTATTTTAGGTGAATGGAGAGAGCAGCTTAGTAATTTAAACACTCTGCTCATCTCGCTGGATCAGCAGAAAGCGTTTGATCGAGTGAATTGGTCATTTCTTTACAAAGTGCTGCACAAATCTTATATACGGATATTTTTAGCCAAGTTCTTGCTAACGGTTTCCTTTCTAATCCGTTTTCCTTACAGAAAGGTGTTAGACAGGGATGCCCCCTGTCACCTCTTGTCTATGCCATTTTTTTAGCCCTTCGCTGCGGCTGTCCGCAACGACAAGGGAATTCAGGGCATTTTTATTCCAGGAAGTAACGACATGCAATGTAAAATACTTCAAGAGTGTCAAGAAACCCCATCGGTACCGACCGGGAACCGTCGCCCTCCGTGAGATTCGCCGCTACCAGAAGAGCACCGAACTGCTGATCCGAAAGCTGCCATTCCAGAGACTTGTGCGTGAAATTGCACAGGATTTCAAAACTGAACTGCGATTCCAGAGTTCTGCCGTCATGGCATTGCAAGAAGCGGGGGGGTGGGTTACCCTAGCCGAGTTTGTGCCGTGCGTGCATTGTATAACTATGCAGGCATACCGCTTTCTTCACGCATGGGTAAGCGGTCACTGGCGGGAAAGTGGACGATGCATGGGTGGTCAGAATCCAAGCTGAGACGTGCTGGTCTTTCATTCGATCGCACGATCCGATACATTCCAAGTCCTCCAGTATGGCTCCCAAAGTTAGCGGAAAAGGTCAGAAGAAGGCCGGAAACACTAAGGGTCCGGTTAGTATTATAAGTGAAAATGAAAACGGTATGACGATTGTTTTCTTTTCTTTCGAATTTTCTTCTTATAACTTCATGACGAAATAAACAATACATCAATGCAATTAAATAGTAATTATTAGAAAAAGGGGAAATAAGTAAGGGAAAAAAACCAAACCATTAACCAAGCAATTAAAGGAAAGCGGCAGGCTGGGACTCGAACCCACGGTCTATTGCTTTCTACATGTGCTTTCTTACCACTCGGCCACGGAGCTTACTGACAAACTGAAGTATTTCCCCGCCCCCAATGTTGGACCCATTGGCAGGGCCTGAGAAATACCCAGATGGGAAACGCCGAGGCGCGATGACCGGGAGTGTTGAAGGGCGCCATCTATTGATATGCTTGTCCCGGTACATCGTACGTACGGTATTTAGTGCCGACGCTGTGCTGTCGCTCACTAATGCATTGATCCCATTTTTTTTGTCTGGATTTATTTTTTAAACAAGATTTTTGGTATAATATGATCGAGGTGTATGAAAATGCATTATAGAAATATTTTTAAGAATGTACATGTATATGTCTCTGATAATCTGAGAAAGCCGGAGATTTTTTTGCTCATCTCTCTCTCTCCACGGGTTTCGTTGAGTTGCGGTGGACGCGCAGGAGTTTTTTTTTTCACACCAGGAAACAAAAAAAGCAAAAATTAATAATAAGAAGAACAATGGCATACAGTATTTCCAGGCGAATAATCCCTTTCCGCGCTATTGTTTTTAAAATTAATCGTTATGGCTTCTCTGCCTTTTGGCTAAGATCATAGTTCTGGCCACTCTCTACTACTACTAAAATGACCCTCAATCGCAACCGAACAGTTGCCCTGCACCTCGTCGAGAGGACTGAGCCAGGCAATGTTTTTGCCCTACTGAAGAGTCAGCTGAAAGAAGCCGAGGTTGAATGTGTGCAACAGCTTACCGATAGGAAATGGATGGTGACCACGACGAACGAGATGTTAGCGACCAAGTTAGCTCGTGCAGAAATGGAAATCAGAGGAAACCCAGTGACTGTGACAATAGCAGGAAGAGGTCTTACCTTTGTGAGTGTCCAGTATGCTCCTCACGACAACCGTGGACTATGGCGAACAGCCAGTTTTCACCACCGAGGAGGCATCGAAACGACGGGTGAGGGAATGGGCAGCAGCTGTAACAACGCCCAACCCATTCGACGGACTAGAGGACGAGTTAGCCCGGGAGGCGGAGGAGGTTTTCCACGGCGAGGCCGGGGGCTTGGACCCGGACTCGGACTCGGACTCCGGCGCCTCCACATTCTCGGTCGCTAGCATGGCCAGTGCTGTAAGCAGCAAGCGGGGCTGTTCCCCAGATGAAGAAGATGAACGACGAAGAGTTGAAGACGGAGGGACTCATGCTGCGGGAGGTCGCCCCGACCATCGGGCGGGCCGCTAGGGGAACTTGAAATTTGATATTCTGCTGTTGCAGGAAACTTACGTCTCGGGCTTCTCCGAAGCCAGAGCGTGGGCCCGGGAATTTGGCGGCGTTGGGTTCTGGCCTTTTGGATCAACCTCGAGTTGTGGGGCGGCCATCTTGCTGTCTTCACGCCACTCGTGGTGTCCTACGGACTATTTGCGTGACAATATGGGTAGGCTGCTGTCCTTCGTTGCCCAACACAAAGACAAAAATTCGTATTGTTAATGTCTATGGCCCCAATGATCCGCACGATAGACAAAATTTCTTTCAGTCTGAGTTATGTAACCACACACGGGGTATGAGACATGTTATTTTGGGGGTGACTTTAATTGTATTGACAATTTGGTTCTTGATTCTAAAGAGGGGATTTCAAATTATCAAAGCACCCGGGGAAATAAAGAAATTCAGAAAACCGTGCGGGAGAGCAGCCTGCTCGATGTATGGCGGGTTCAAAACCCAAATGAAAAACGATTTACTTGGCACTCCAAAAATAACCAAAAGGCAACAAGAATCGACCGCCTATACATGTCACGCGAATTGTCCGCGGGTTCACTTTAATTAATAGCGCAATCACTGCATGTCCCCTGTCTGACCACGATTTAATTTCTGTGGTTTTTTCGAATCAAATTCAAAACGCTGGGCGGGGTTACTGGAAATTGAATACTTCTTTTTTGGGGAGGG